TAAATTTATTGACCATGCTAACTTCATTGATGTATCGAAAATTTTATCTAAATTTTTTGGCAAAGTGAATTCTTTGTGAACCGAGTTCACGAAGTGATTGATGTTTTTTTTTTCAAGTACTCATGTAATTTTTATTAACTTAAGCTTTTGAATATTTCTCTATCTTATATAAAACAATGACAAACACACAATCTAAAATCGATTTATTAGAACAGAATTCCAAGCTTGTAGCTGAAATTAGTGAACTTAAAAAGAAGTATACTGAGGTTGAGGCTGAGAACGTGAAGCTAAGACAGGTCATGGAAGAGAATACTGGTCTCAAATCCAGGTTAGAAGAGCTAGAGAAAAAAAATAAAACGGATACTGCCATCCTTATTGCTGAAAATGATGAGCTTAAAGACAGAGTTACCAAATTAGAACAGAACCAGATCCGGGTTACCATTAACGAACAGGAAGCATCTCCCACAAAAGATATTTTGCCATCCTCAGCTTGTTCAGAATTATCTGTAATTTCTCAATCATCCGCTTCAACTATTGAAACTTACTCCAATGAAGAAAATTATATAGGCCCTGTGGATCCAAATCTGGTACAAAATGTTACATCTAATCTTGGCGAAATTGAGAAAAGCTCAGAATCTGCGTCATCTATCTGCACAGAAACTAAATTATTGAAAGATAGGGAGATTAATGAATTTCTGGACTCAACGCATAAGGAAACGATTAGTAATGAGATAAGAGAAAGAAATCGGGAAAAGAAGTTCAGATCTCAAGACCCTTTATCATATGATAAAGATATTTCGCAATCTAATAAAAACAAAGTACAAAGATTTGTGTTAGAAGTTTCTGAAAACTCTAGTCCACAATTACAATATACCGATTCTATTATTAGCAAAGTTAGCACGGCTAATGGTAATGTAACCCCGAATGAAACAAAATTTCAACCCAGCAATGCTAACTTTACGCTTTTATATGAAAAACTTTGTGATGCTATAATTCTTGCTGATCGTAAAACCCAAGAAGCTATAATGTGTTATTGCCTATTTGGAAAGGCCCTTATTCAAAGACGTAATGAAATAGCATCGGAAAAACAAGTTGATCCAGAATCCAATATTGTTAGTAGAATTTTAAATAAAGAAATAAAAACACAGTTACCCGCAGATACTTCTGATAGCCTTTTACGTAAGAGAATCGAAAAAGCAAAGAAGCTTTATAAACTTTTTGATGCAATAGG